CTCTCTCTCGCGCCCTCTCTCTCTTGCTGTGTGTGTGGGTGTGTGTGTGCGTGGGGTGGGGTGGGGTGGGATACCCATAGAAGCCAGAAGGGGAGGTAAGGTCCTTTGGAGCTGGAATTACAGTGGTCTGCCACCTGGCATGGGTGCTGGGAACCAAACTTGGGTCCTTCAGAAGAGCAATATAAGCCCTTAATCACTGAGCCACCTCTCTAGCCCCAGGAAATGCAATCAAGAAGTAATATGTCCCTAGCTGGGTGTGCTGGTGCACCCTTTTAATGCCAGAACAGGAAGATTTCTATGAGCTCCAGACCAGCTTGGTGTACACAGCAAGTTGTAGACCAGCCAGGGCTACACAGTGAGACCTTGTCCCAAATAACTAACTAACTAACTAAATAAATAAATTATTGTATTGCTTTATTAAAGTTTTAATCCTAAATTAACGTTCTTATCTACTATAATTATGAAAACCTACACTTCAAACAGTACCTATCGAGGGGCAGAGGCAGGCAGGTCTCTGAGTTCAAGGCTGTGCTGGTCTACAGAGTGAATTCCAGGACAGCCAGGACTACACAGAGAAATCCTGTCTCCGAAAAACAAAACAAATAAATCCCAAAGCAAAACAAAACCTACTGAGATGTATGTAGGACTGTTCTTGGACACCAGGGGGTGCTACTGGGTTTTAAGCCATCATTTCGGTTTTTAGCACCCGCAGGTGTTGGGGCAGCACCCAGCAGCAGAGAATAGGAAAGCAGGAAACCTTGGTTTGATCACCAGCACCACAAAAGGAAAACAAAAACAAAAATGCCCTCTGTAAGTGTTTTGATGTGCCTCTCATTGAGAGGAGGACGTGTAAAGGAAGAAGGGACACGCCTAGCCCACACTGGAACTTCTGAGATTAGGTCATAGCAGGCAATGCAGCTTCTACCTGCTTCTCTAGATACTGATTCGTGGTGAGTCCTTGGTGAGCATGGAAAATCTCCAAAGCTGCCAAGCTGTGAGGAAACCAGTTCCAGCAGAGTCCGAGGGCCAGACATGTGAGTAAAGTAGGTGAGCTGTCCTAGAGGCCAGGTCACCCACTCCCAGGTGAGGAGCTTTCCCAGGTGAGGTGCCAGGCACAGGGAGCAGAGAAACACAGTCTTGGCTGGGCCCTTCTCAAGTCTCTACCACAGAAGCTAGTCAGTAGACAAAAGGCACCTGAAGCCTCTAGGTTTTGGGGTTAATCTCTAATGCAACAACCGTTAAAGAAGGGGAGAAGTGGTGGGAATGAAACTGTTAAAAGGGTAGCATAGTAGCCCATAGGAGCACAACGCCCTTGATCCCAGCACTCAGGAGCCACACGCAGCCACGTCACTGTGAGTCCCAGGACAACCAGGGGGACATAGTGAGACTGGCTCAAAACAACAACAAAAATAAATAAACAAATAAATCAAAGAGAACAGCACACTACATTATACTACAATAAAAACAAAAAGACTGTCCCAGAAGGAGGTTCAGAACCATCACAACTTCTAAAAAGGACAAGGAAACTTGATTTTAAACCACTGGATATTGCTTTTCAAAAGTAGCAAGAATCTAACGTGACTCAACCTTGTAAGCAAGAAAATTCAATTGACGGGACCTGCTTTTATACAGCCCCACCCACCCCTAAGCCCCCACTCCCAGTCTAGGAAACACAAGAAAACTTGGCTTTACGGATTAGCGATATCAGATTAGCTGGAGACTGCAGAAGGAAATCTCAAGCAATAAATCATGGGGATAATCCCAACACTTTAGAGTAAACTCCCTTCCAATACCTTCAACCGACCCCAAGGAAACCAGCTGATGCCAAAATAATGGGGAAGAGTCTAGCTGCTGTCCACTGCATGGGAACTTGGTGGGGGCTCAGTTTCACCAAGTCAGGGGGGAATTTCCAGGCACACCCTAACAAAGAACAAAATCTGGTCTCACAATTCGATCAACGTGACCAACCAGCTGATCTTAGCTGCCTTGAACAGCAAAGAGCAATATTAGCACCTCTTATTAGCAGTACGAGCAAGATATTCTGCAGACAAGTTATCAGACTGTTAGCAAAAGATTAAATATCAGCCACGCAGGCATGAAGTGAAAAGGCGGGCAGGCGTCAGGAAGGCCACTGTCAATGTGAAAGAACACCTGAAGGTCACACGAGGTGAACTTCATCTCCCACAAGAGCTCAATACCAAACTCATTCCCCTACTACCTGGTGGAAGTAGTTCTAGAAGCAGAGAATTTGTAGCTATTTCCACGCTGACCTGTGACCATCCTGCCGCTTGAACTGCATAGGTCAGGGATGGGGCAGGACAGAAGAACGTGGAAAGTAAAGAGATTAAAACTGTGCCAAAGAGGCGCAGCAGAGATAAACAACAGTGTATCCAAACCCTCGGGTCTCAACAACTGAGAGGTCACTGGTCCCAAACACAGTTGGCAAGTACTGAGGTGGGGCTTGGGGCTGGGAATCGAGGTGAAGAAAGGCAGCTAAGAGCTCCATCCCAGTAAGGGTTAATGTGGACGTCACTAAAGAGTGGGGCTTCACTGGCTGTAAAGGGGAAGCCAACTGAAGACCTCTCAGGAGAAAAGGGCCCGGAACACCAAGGCCCCAGAAGCATGGGAAGCACGGGAAGGGACAGAGTGTCATACTAAGAACTAACACTCTCAACCGGGAGGCTCAGCCTTCATGTGACTCGACTGCTGATTTTTACCACCTGTAACTCCAGCTCTAGGGGATCCAATGTTCTCTCTGGCCTCAGGCACTGTGCACACATGTGGTACACATACATGAAGGAGCCACACAGGCATGAAGGGACATCCAATCCCTGGAGCTGGAGCTACAGGTCATTGTGAGGTAGGTAGTCTTCTGTAAGACTAGTTAGTACTCTAACATCTGAGCCATCTCCTGCCCCCAAATAAACCTTAAGACAAAACCCAGGTGGACAGCCAGCAGCCCACAGGTTACCCTGCAGGTTTTTGCTCTTGGCAACAGGAAACCACAAGAGGGTTGTAAGCAAGGCAGGGACAGAAGCAGATCTGTAACCGAGAAAGACAGCCATGGTTGTGACTTGTCAGCTACGACAGGACCTGAAGAGGAACACAGACAAACATTTGCATAACGTCAAACAGATGAGGGGAAGATGGGACCTGAGCCACACTGTTTGCACAAGCTAAGGAAAAGGTTTCATTAGCCATGTTTTTAAAATCTTAGCCACAGGCAAGAGTGCCATTAGGCCTTCCGGCCAAATGCCTGGTGAGCGACACTGATCAGAACTGGGTCTGTGGACAGGGAAGTGGGAGAGGCGACCAAGTGTGAGTGACACTGGCTGAAGGTTGTGCAGGTGGAAACAAACAGAAGACAACTCAAGCAGTCTAGAGAGGAGGCTGCTAGCCAGGGCCCAAGTGGTGATGTAGCCAGGGCTCTGGAGAAACGGTGGTCATGTGGCGATGGGAGTTCTCCTTTATCTGCTGTCTTCCCACAGCAGGTGTGCTCACACAATGGTGTTAACTAGCACTCAACTCTTCTAGAGCATTTTCTAGATATCTCCTCAAGTGCCTCCTGAGGGGAGGAGCAGGGGGTGTTGGAGGGGCAAAGATAAGTAAGATGTGGCCTCCATCCTTAGAGCACTTATATGCTGGGGCAGACTCAGCTGCCACTTCTAAATTCTTTTTTGTTTGATTTCTTTTCTAAGACAGAGTCTCATGTAGCCCAAGCCAACCTCAAATTCACTATACAGCACAGGCTGGCCTTGACCGCTGATCCCCCTTCCTCTACCTCCCAAGTGCTGGGCTTACAGCGTCACCACCAGATGGGCTCATTAAATTATAGTTTGTAACATTAAAAACTCTGGGGATAGGGAGGTGGCAGTCACTTAAGTACCTGTCTTGTGAGCCTGAGTTCTTGTGTTCGGATCCCCAGGACCCATGTGAAAGCCAGTATGACAGTTTGAGTCCCTATGGTGGTTTGAATGTAATGGCCCCCATAAAATCACAGGGAGTGGCACAGTTAGGAGGTGTGACCTTGCTGAAGTAAGTGTGGCCTTGTTAGAGGAAGTGTGTCACCATGGAGACAGTCTTTGAGATCTTACCTATGCTCAAGACTTGCCTAGTATCTCAGTTCACTTCCTGCTGCCTGCAGGTCAAGGTATAGAACTCTCAGCTCTCTCTCCAGCACCACGTCTGCCTGCGTGCCGCCATGTCCTGCCATGACGATAATGGCCCGAGCCTCTGAAACCATACGCCAGCCCCAATTAAATGTTTTCCTTTGTAAGAGTTGCCGTGGTCATGGTGTCTCCTCACAGCAACAGAAACCCTAACTAAGACAGTCTGCAACCCTAACACTGGAAGGGGAGACAAGTGGATCCCAGAGCTCTAGATTCAGTGAGACCAACTCAAAACTCTACAGTGGAAAGTGACAGAGGAAGATATCCAGCATCTCTCTCTCTCTCTCTCTCTCTCTCTTTCTCTCTCTCTCTCTCTCTCTCGCTCCCCCCCCCTCTCTCTCTCTCTCTCTCTCGCTCCCCCCCCCTCTCTCTCTCTCTCTCTCTCGCTCCCCCCCCCTCTCTCTCTCTCTCTCTCTCTCTCTCTCTCTCTCTCTCTCTCTCACACACACACACACACACACACACACACACACACACAATCTTTAAAATCTGTCAAGAGCTGGGACTGTAGCTCAATGTAGAGCATTTGTCAAGTATTTGTTAGGACCTGGGTTCAATCTTCAATGATATACACAGAAAAAATGTGAGAAACCAGATTAACAACAACAAAAACACGA